TGATGATGATGTTTTGACTTGGACAAATGTTGCCAAGGCAACTGGGACTGGTGAACCTTTAGAATATACTAGGAGACAAACACAGGTGAACAAGGCAACAAGAATTGCATCTACATCCAGGAAAGAAAAAGTTAAAAAAGTGATGGAAGTAATAGAAGATTTAGATGATAATGAAGTAGAAGAAGAATATAATTCTAATAGTGGAAGTGATGAATTTGAAATAGAGGAAGAACTTGACATTTTGTTTTCTAGACATTTTATGTTATGCTTTGTTTGAGAATTATGAACTTTTATTATTAATGCATGAATTTAGAGTTATTTTTCTGTTTTTTTAGCATATATATATATATTATTAATTATGTAATAAATATAAATATAATAATTAAATAGCGGTCATCCCACTATCCGCAATCCTGCTATTCCACTTTTGGTGTCAGCCGCTCCGCTCCACTATCTGGGACCGACTACTATGTTCCATTTGTTCCAGTTTTGTCTCTTCTCAATTCTTATCTTCATTCAAATAATTAGTGAAGGAACGATACTCACCACCCCAATCAGTTTGCAATGCTTTGATTGGGTGGTGATATTGATTGTTAACCATAGCGTGAAACTGTTTGAAAACGTTAAAGGTTTGAGCTTTAGATTTGAGAAGATAGATCCACGTAAAGCGTGTGTGAGCATCGACAAAAGTGACATAGTATTGATATCCACAGGTTGACGTAACCGGAGCAGGTCCCCACAAATCGCTGTATACTAAATCAAAGGGTGTATTGTAAATAGTTCTAGACAGATTGGAAGGTAATCTGTGGGATTTACCAAGACAACAAGGAGTGCAGAAATTTGATTTATTATTGTTCACAAGTTGAATGTTGAAGTTCCGGGAAACATGTTTCATTACATCAACATTAGGATGTCCTAATCTAGAGTGCCAAGTGGCAAAGGAAACAGAGCTTGTTGCTGCAGTATTGACAGAAAAGGTTCTGGCCGGTTGCACCTGCTGGACAGATTGCGTACTGGGAGTAGGAAGGAGTGCAGGAAACTTGTACAGGCCATCAGGACCAACCGAGCCTTGGAGAAGAACTTCTTTAGTGTCCTGTGATTTGACCAAGCAAATGTGGGGGTGAAATTCAAAATATACAGAATTATCCTTGGAGAATTGACTAACACTGATTAGATTTTTTGTGATGGAGGGCACAAATAGAAGATTGTTTAGAGCGAATTGAAACTTAGGGTTGATTGGAGAATGAAAGGTGGTAACACCTGTGGAGTTAATGTGAAGCCCTTGTCCATTGCCAACATGGATTTGATCAGGTCCTTCAAAAGGAGTGAATTGATGAATATTTTGAGAAACATTGGTAACATGATTTGATGCCCCAGAATCCGGATACCAATTGTTGGTTGAAGAAGAGGATGATGCAATCATGGCTTGAGGTTGCGCCTGGGTGGAGGTGAATTGGACTTGAGGAGTAAATTGAGGTCTAGGTCCAAGAATTCCATTCTGATGAGGAGAAGACGAAGCAGGTTGATTGTTGTACCACGCGCCTGGGTTTGTATGTTGGTTGATGGAGTGGTACGCGGGTGCTTCAAGGGGTGAGGATGGGACATAGGTTTCATCAAAACGATAATAGCAGGCAGAGGCAACATGTCCATACCTGTGGCAGACTTGACATTGGTACCCAGCGAATCTACCTCAACCACGTCCTGCCCGATTGGAGAAACGGCCACCACGAGAATTGGTACGACCCCCTCGACGATGAGAAAAGCCAGATTGATTGTCTTGATGGGCAAGGTGTGCTTGTGGGTTCGTGACAGGCGGGTTGGGTTCAGTGGTGGCAGTGGTGACATTAATGGAGGCAGCGGCTTTCTTCTTGAATTTGTCAAGACGGGATCCATGGCCAAGGAGCAAGGTCTCGACTTCATCTATGGTTAGAAGGTCAAAACGGCTACTGATGAGAGACACAGTGGATTCGTATTCTTCGGGAAGACCTTCAAGAATTATATCAAGGTGTTCCTTTGGAGAAACAGAGTCGCCTATGGCTGTGAGGGCATCAACTAGGGTTTGAATTCGAAGCACATATTCAGAGATTGACAGATTTTCGACGGTGGTACTACGAAGTTCATTGCGCAATTGGCGGGCTTTGGCATTCATATGGGAGTGGAAGTATGAGTGAATTTTGTCCCAAAGCTGGAAGGAGGACTTGCAACCGATAACTCGTGTAAGCATGTCTTTAGACATGGAGGACTGTAACCAAGAGAGTAGTAATTGATCTTGCTGTTCCCAGGCAAGATAGGATTCAGAGATGCGACCAGCATCTCGGTCAGCAAGGGTTGAAATTTTTGAGGAATTTGGGGGTTGACAAGATAATGGTGAAGACGGTGACCCTTGATGACGGGTTCAACCTGTTGACACCAAAGAAGATAGTTCTTGGTGTCAAGCTTTTCGGAGATGGTGTGAGAGAAGGTGAGAGACAGATGGGAGTTAGAGGGAGGATTCTTGGGCGGGACGGTGTTGACTGGGTTGGCATGAATTGGTGGAGGAGGCGGTGGTGGTGGGGAAGAATTCATTGTGGAGGTAGATTCAGCCATAGGAAGTTGTTGGTCGAGCGGAAACGGAGGAGAGAAGAAGATGATCAAGAAGCTCTATGATACCATAAAGGAATTATATGTGAGAGAGAGAGAGAGGAGGCGAGAGATAGAGAAAAGAATAGATTTTCAATAGGTAAAGAATGTAATTCATTAACCCACTGAAAACAGAGTACAAGACAGGTTTTTATAGAGCCAATTGAGATTGGTCTATAATAACCTAATTATCTATAATAACTGAAAAATAACCTAATTATCTATAATAACTGAAAATATCTATAATAACCGAAAATAACAATAAAGGAGTAAAACTATACTCCAATACTCAAAATTCTTCACTCCTGTCACATCCTCATCCTTTCATTCTATAAATGATTCTGGCTACATAAGTGAAATTCCTAGCACTGTTTTTCTTGTTCCTACATCATGTCCTTCCACAAAGGCACAAACACTCATTCCATGATCACTAGATCAAAATAAAAAAAAACTAACAATCATTGACCTGCTCCCACTGCCCTTATTGCTCATGCTGATCCAAAAACTGCAAAAGCAGCTCAAAATACATTCGTGAGTTACTTGATAAAGTTGGCATGGCAGGAGCTAAATGCATTTCCTCTCCCATGGTTGGAGGATTAAAGATATCTAAACAAGGATGTGACTACTTCACTGATCCAACTATATACAGAACACTAGAGGGCTCACTACAAAATACAACAATTACTCATCCTGAACTTATCATTCTCAGTTAACAAGGTTTGATTTCTTAGTTTATGTCTGCTCTTTTGGAATCTCATTGGACAGCAATTAAAAGCATTTTACATTATCTAAAAGGTGCTATGAATCATGGTTTACTTCTGCAATCAACATATCCTAATATTCCTTTACAGCTAACTGCATTTGCAGATGCAGATTGGGCTGCTGATCCTGATGACAGAAGGTAAACACTGGATCTTGCATCTTTTTTGGTCCTAATCTCATATCATGATGATCCCGAAAACAAACCGTTGTAGCCCAGTCCAACATTGAAGCTGAATATCGTAGTGTTGCTTCCACAGCACCGGAAGTTCTATGGGTTTAAACTTTGTTTACAAAACTCAAAAGTGCAAGTAGCATCTCCTACACTCTACTGTGGCAACATGAGCACTGTGGTTCTATCCCATAATCCTATTCTTCATTCCTGTACAAAGCATATGGAATTAGATATCTTCTTTCTCTGAGAAAAGGTTATCAACAAAAGCTTGAAGGTTTTACATATCCCCTTTGAAGAACAATGTGCTGATATTTTGACAAGAGCTCTCTCCCACTCATTTTCTGTTTCTAAGAGACAAGTTGCAAGTGTCTATTTGCAGTGATATGCTGCAGCCTCCTCCATCTTGAGGGAGGTATATGAGTACAGTTAGAATGGGTGTGCAGTCTCCTACAGTGAGCATTGTTTTACTGTATCATTTCTCTGTCCAGTTAGTTTTCTGTTTAGGTTCTGTTACATTACTGTTAAGTATTCTGTTACAATAGAAACCATGTATCTCTCCTTATATACCTTTGCCCAGTGCATCAATAAGACAAGTCAATATACAGTTTCTTTAAATCATTCTCTTTAGCTTCTCTCTGAATATTAACAGTCAAGGATAGATAGAACAAAGAGAGAGAAAAAAAAAAAGATTTTGAATTATAATAGTTGCAGTACTTCATTTATGAGTTGCATTATATTTGACAGAAGTTTTAACAGAGGTTCAAACTTGATTCTACTCTAATTTGATAAATTTCATCAAGCAGAAGTTCAATTAATATTATTCTTTTAGGCACAACATGCCAACATACAAATCAAATTATGTATGAACCTATGATGTCATTTAGATAAAACTATAAAAGGATATATGATATATCCAGAGGCTAGAACACAGAATCATGATCTCTGACCTTCTCTAACAGCTGAAGAATAGGTTACAAATTTCACCTCAGTGCAAACCACACACTAGATGATACCATTACTATTTACTACCACAATCTAATACCAGCTAGCATTGCTTATTTAACAACAACAAAAAAAAAAGGATCCAAGGCTGTAGAATCGATTATGATCAAAATATTTATTTATGATAGAAGAAAATATTAAAAGGAGAAAGAAGCAAGGAAGACATAAACAGAACGACATAAACAAGAAAGAAATTGGTTCAATCTCCTATATCAACAATATAAATTCCTTTGACGGAAAAAAAAGAAAAAAAAAGAAAAAAAAAAAGGGCTTCTTGAAGAGAGAACGAGAGGAGAAAGAGAAGAGATGTAAAACAAAGGAAAATAACTGTTATATCTAAAATTAGATGCCACTTGATTTAAACTCAACTAATTATTATAAACCAAGTGAGTTGCTTCACCGAGCAACTACATTCTACAAAGGAAATAAAACTAAAATAAGTTACCTTGCAAAATCCAAGACTGGATGACAGATCTACTATATTGCTGATATTTTTCAAGACATATTTCATCCAGCCGTTTTTTCCTAAAAGGTAAATGCACAAATAGATACAAAACAGTTCAGTGTCATCTCTACCAGTACAATATTCAAAAATAAATAAATATATATATATATATGTGTGTGTGTGTGTATCACAGTGATCGAAAAGATCATCCCAATGATACCAAAGGCATAATACTAGAAACTAGAAAGAAGTCTTAGAATGTTAATTTGGACCTAACTCAACACTACAAAATCAGTTTATAAGATAAGAGTCGTTCCCCACTTATATAAACTATTTCCCCTGACAGCAGAAAACTGAACATTTTGAGCATAAAGTTTGCAAAACTATACATCTACGGGTGGTCCAATAACAACCCGATAAGCCCAACAACAATCATTAAGATAGGCTTTGATACATCTTAAAATATTGTTTTGGGCCTAACTCAATATTGCAAAACAGACTTGTAAAGTAAAGGTTGCCCTCCACTGATATATACCATTTTGACCACCAATGTAGGATTTTCAACAAGAAGCAAGTTAATCCCACCATAAATATTGGTAAATTACATCTACTTATGTTTAGAGCAAAAGGTGTGATGAAAGATGTGTTAGTAGAAAAGGAGTGCAGAAGAAAGCATACAAAAAATGTGACTAGTGTGTGAAACATGTGACTTTTTGGTGATGTCTGAACCAATGAAAGTGTGTCGGACCATAATGGACGTCCACCATGATGGAGATACGACTCTCCACTCTCTCTTGACCCAAACAAGCACAATAAACACCTTTCCAAATACTAGTTGCACTCCACTAAAATACTAAATACATCCCTAAAAAGAAAATTACAAGAAAATAATTTCCTAATCTATTTGACCAAAAATACAAGGTCAAAGTTAAAATAAAATATTTACAAAGAAGAGAAAATAGACTACTAAAAGTAACCCAAAACTCAACATAAGCTAGGGTATTTTTCCTTCAAACTTAACTCACTCCTCTTGGTTCCTTTTGTACCTTGCCCTTGGGTGTGACGTTATCACTTAATGTGAGTGGTAACATCATCATCCTTGCCAAAAGCACAACTACCATGACATTATATTATTACAACAATAACCAAGCTAATAAAATAAAATAAAATTAAAAAAATATAGTTTTAACCAAGCTAATGACATTATATTACTTCAAGTGTGCATTATACAATAAGCCAAGCCTTAGAAACCAATATATAACTAAAAAAATAATGTTTTATTTTCTGTCTCAAAAACACCATGCCATAATGATGCAACCACCAGTATCATTGGCGTCACGCAATACTTTGTTCTCATCAATGACACAAAAACAGATAAACTGAGTAAGAATCAAATTGAAGCACGAGATGCAAAAGCTTACTTCTTCACATGTAGAACCTTTTCTGATTTTCCAGTAGCATAGCTCCTAAAGTAAGTTGGAATCCGAGCATCATCCCATCTCACTAGGGCTAGTTCATGAACAACAGCGGCAAAGTATCAGTGCACTACAAACTATTATTATTAGTAGTAGTAGTAGTATTGTTATTACTATTAAGAGGGAATCGTTGTGCAAGTTAAATTGTCCACAACTTGTATAAACAAATAGGAGATTTTTTTATACAATGGCAGCAACGAAATTATGTACAATTAGTATCTATTACCTCATCCAAAATACTCGTGTGCATAAACAAATAAGCGTCTGAGTTATAATAATCTATAACAATATAAAAAAGAAGACTATTACCGTGTTTGAATATAAGTTTAGGAAATTTTTAAAGTTTCTTTACTAAAACAATAAAAATCTATCATTTTTCAGTAGTTTAAAAATTTCTTCCTGCACGTAAACAAGGCTATATACCAACTTTCATTGTACACATTTCATGACCCATCTTCCCTTTTAATTGTCCATATATTGTAACTGCAAACACTCAAGTTTCAGTTTCCCTTTAAATAGTGCTACATTACAAATTAATTCATCTCATTCTCCTAATTTTATCAAAAATAAAATAAAAAACACGGAGTGTGCCTAATCCTTATCTTTTCAATAACAATCTGAGAGGCTATTCGAAATAAAATAGGCACGAATTGAACGAAAAAAGAGAAATTTGAAAGAGAGGGAACCTGTGAATGGAAGTTTGGGATTTCGTAACCGAGAAAGAAAAGTTAAGGTTGGGTCGGTTACGGGGTGCTTCAGAAACTGCAAAGCCATTTCTAACGAACAATGCTTTCACAACAATCAGTGGTTACTGCATTTCAAGTTTTCACGTTTCGATTTTGAACTCAAACAGTCAAAGGAAGGAAGGAAACGGAGCCACAACACTCTGCCACATGCTCTTTTTTTTTTTTTATATGATAAAATTAAATAGCCTGTACAGGGGAGGTGGGCATTGGGTCTGTTTTGTGGAGCAAATAGTTTAATATAAAAAAAATTCAAAATATATTTTAAGTTCTTCGAACCTAAAATTGGTGTTTTTAATTTATGTAAATTGAAGAAAAAATGTTTAAGTTCTTATAGATAAATTTTATTTGTAAATCTGTGAAATATAATGGTACAAAATTCACTTATTAATATTTTTATTAATAAAAATATTATATTAAATTTTATAATTATTTTAATTTATCATTGTCAAATATGTTACATGTGATTTAAGGGATTAAAACAAAAAAAAATTATATTATATAATTCAAATAATTAATTTTAAGTTTGAGAGATCAAAATTCAATTTACTCTAAATTTAAAAGAATTAAAAATACATTCAAGCACATAAAATGTTAATAAATAAAGAATTAAAAATAAGATGATTTTTCTAGAAAGTATAATATTTAATGAGGTTTAATTTTTAGTGTAAATTTTTTACAATGTAAAATTATGATATATTAGACAATTTATCGATGTGATGCATGAAAGTTTAGTTATTTTTTTTATTAATGATAAATTAATTTTTAGTTAGTAAGATAAATTTATATTTTTAAAATTTTATATTATTTTAAAAGATTATATAATTATATAAATTTAATATAAAAATATATATATTTGTTTTATGTTTAAATCATGGGTAAGTGTCATTTTCCTTTATTTCAAATTTATCAAATGAACATAAAAATTGAAATATAATAACATGACAATTATCTTATTAAGGTGGAGAGATAAAAAAAATATAAGAAAAAAAATAATATGTGAATATATATATATATATATAGAGAGAGAGAGAGAAAGAGAGGGAGAGGAGGTATCTATACAATAACTCGTATTCTACATTAAAATTTAATGATCCAACTATTGAATTATAAGTTGTTAATATATAGATCAAATCTATAATATTTTTTAAAATTTGAAAATCATATAATACTTTGTTATATAGATTCAAATCAACGTAAAAAAATATTTTTATCATTATTTGTACCTGCACAAGGGTACTCCGATAATTTTGCTACTCCTGCTGGGTCTTCGTCTTCCATGAGGTATCCTAGGGAAAGAGGAGGGTACTCCGGTAATTTTGCTACGCCTGTTGGGTCTTTGTCTTCCATGATGTGTCTTAGGGGAAGAGAAGGGTACCTGCAAAAGGCACTTCAATGCTTAAGTCAGTCCTCGGTCTCAGAGATATCAATGCTAATCAAATTGGTAATTATCAAAACGTACCTCTCTTTGTCACTGGTCATACTTATTTATACTAACCTTGATGGGCCAGGCCCATATGCAGGCCCATAAGAGGATCCATTAATGATACGAGAAGTCTTCAATGTGATCGCAAGGAGTTATAGATTCTTCTAAGGTGTTTTCCCTAATATTCATACCATTATCCGGTATACATGCCCCCAGGATTTCAAGGCTTTTTGATAAATATTAAAAAATGGAGAAATCCTAAAAATAAATGTTTGCGGATCTTTTCTGCTGCTTTCTCTGATATTGTCGTCTTTCAATTAGGCTGCTTTTTTCAATTATACTTGGCCGAGGACTACCATATTTATGTATATAAAACTTTGGCTTTCAAAACTTTTTCACCAAGGAATCTTTTATATGTGAGATTTCTCGCTTTTAAACGTTTGGCCGAAGACCAAAACAGTTTCCTTAATAAGATTTCTTTTAACTAAGAGCTGAGTAGGACCCTTGCCTTTGTCTTTTAAAAGATTATTTTTAACTCCTTTGACCGAGGGCATAAATCAAGTAATTTTTTATTCTTTTTAATAAAAGATTATATAATTATATAAATTTAATATAAAAATATATATATTTGTTTTATGTTTAAATCATGGGTAAGTGTCATTTTCCTTTATTTCAAATTTATCAAATGAACATAAAAATTGAAATATAATAACATGACAATTATCTTATTAAGGTGGAGAGATAAAAAAAATATAAGAAAAAAAATAATATGTGAATATATATATATATATATAGAGAGAGAGAGAGAAAGAGAGGGAGAGGAGGTATCTATACAATAACTCGTATTCTACATTAAAATTTAATGATCCAACTATTGAATTATAAGTTGTTAATATATAGATCAAATCTATAATATTTTTTAAAATTTGAAAATCATATAATACTTTGTTATATAGATTCAAATCAACGTAAAAAAATATTTTTATCATTATTTGTACCTGCACACTAATCACTCTCCTAAGCTTTGGTAGCCTAGAATTTATGTTTATGCCTATTTTGCCCTTGTCTTTGATTTTCCATTTTTACCCTTTTATTTTGAGGTATCTTAGACATAGGATCTATGTTACTTGTATTTCCAATTTTACCCTTGTATTTTAGGGTATTTTAGTCATAGGGTTTATTTTCTTTGTATTTCTCATTTTACCCTTGTATTATAGGGTGCTTTAGATCATAGTTTTTTATTTTTGGGCTAAGGTATTTGATTAGGGTGGGAATAAAAACCTAGACATAATTTTTGTGGCTATTGGACCTATTTTTGGTGTTAGAAAGAGAGAACTTGTTTCAAACAAAATGCAAGGTCTTAGAAAGCACTTGTTCTCTCATTGTAGATAGTGGGTCAACTTCCAATTGTTGTAGCACTAGATTGGTTAATAAGCTAGCCTTAACTAAAAACCCTCATCCTAAACCTTACAAAATGCAATGAATCAATGAGGAAATAAGTGTTCTAGTTAACCAACAAGTAAGCATACCAATCTCTATTGGCAAGTATAAAAAAGAATTTTTGTGTGACATAGTGCCATTAGAGGTTAGTCATGTCTTGCTTGGGAGACCATGGCAATTTGACAAGCAAATAATCCATGATGGCCTCACAAATAAAATAAGTTTCCAAAACTTAGGTAAGAAGTTTGTGTGGTGTCCTCTATCACCCTCTCAAGTGAATAAAGACCAACTCAAACTAAGAGCTAAGAAAGATGAAGAAGAGAAAAGCAAAAACAAAAACAAAAAGAAAAGAAAAGAAAAAAGAATTTTTCCTTTGAAGAAAAAGGGCTAGGTTCAAGAGAACCTTAACCTTTGTGCCATCCTCATTCTTTTGGTGCCAAAGAAAGATGGCAATAGAAGATGTGCACCAATTCAGAAAGCCATCATTGAATAAAAGACACCCAATCCCTAAGATAGATGATTTAGTGAATGAATTGCATGGGGTCAATAACTTTTTCAAAAATAGTGATGCCTCTTTGGCTTTCTCCTTCCCCTAGCACTTTCACTCAACAAATTGTGTACTTAAGGCTCAAGATTAAAATACACTAATCACTCTCCTAAGCTTTGGTAGCCTAGAATTTATGTTTATGCCTATTTTGCCCTTGTCTTTGATTTTCCATTTTTACCCTTTTATTTTGAGGTATCTTAGACATAGGATCTATGTTACTTGTATTTCCAATTTTACCCTTGTATTTTAGGGTATTTTAGTCATAGGGTTTATTTTCTTTGTATTTCTCATTTTACCCTTGTATTATAGGGTGCTTTAGATCATAGTTTTTTATTTTTGGGCTAAGGTATTTGATTAGGGTGGGAATAAAAACCTAGACATAATTTTTGTGGCTATTGGACCTATTTTTGGTGTTAGAAAGAGAGAACTTGTTTCAAACAAAATGCAAGGTCTTAGAAAGCACTTGTTCTCTCATTGTAGATAGTGGGTCAACTTCCAATTGTTGTAGCACTAGATTGGTTAATAAGCTAGCCTTAACTAAAAACCCTCATCCTAAACCTTACAAAATGCAATGAACGGCCGAGGACTTGAGTTATTTTTCACGTTCGACTGAGTGTATTCTTGGCCGAGATTTTGAGTTGTATTTTCACGCTCGACCGAGTATGTCCTTGGCCGAGGTCTTGATTTGTTTTTCGCGCTCGACCGAGTGTGTGCTCGGTCGAGGTCTTGATTCGTTTTTCGCGCTCGATCGAGTGTGTGCTCGGCCGAGGTCTTGATTCGTTTTTCACGCTCGACCGAGTGTGTCCTCGGTCAAGGTCTTGATTCGTTTTTCACGCTCGACCGAGTGTATCCTCGTCCGAGGTCTTGAGTTGTTTTTCACGCTCGACCGAGTGTGTCCTCGGCCGAGGTCTTGAGTTGTTTTTCACGCTCGACCGAGTGTGTCCTTGGCCGAGGTCTTGAGTCTAGGAGCTCGTTAAACCTGAAAATATTTCTTGTATTATTATTCACTGGGGTATCTCGTTAAAAACATTGCTTAGCAAAAACCCTTTCACGTTCTTTTAGGGATAAAAAGCTAAGCAAGGAAAAGAGTACACCGAATTACAATGTTTTTCAACTGTAATACACTTTCAAATGTGTTGTATTCCATGTTCTTGGCATTAACTTTCCATTTAATTCTTCTAGCTTGTATGCTCGCATGTTTTGATTAATTCTGTATGGTCCATCTCAATTGGCCGAGAGCTTTCCTTCCCTTAGATTCTTTCTTGCTTCTCAATTGGCATAGCCTCGGCTCTAGCTTGATTTCTTGATTCAGTTAATTCCTCCATTTTCATGTATTTTTCAGCCCTTCTCCTCAAGTTATTCATATCCAACGGAGGTTTTTTGCATAAACTATCTACAAAAGGTCCGGGTTTCAACGCTGTGTTCAACCTATCCATTGCGACAGCTGGGTTCAGGTTTTTTATCTCCATTGCGATTTTGTTAAAACGATCCATAAATGACCTTAAGGATTCCTTCTTTTCCTGTCTGATGTTGGCCAACGCCAATGATGTCAGTTGGTAAGGTCTGCTTGTAGCAAATTGTACTGTAAATAAAGATGTTAGTTCTTCAAATGAATTTATGGAGCTGGGGGAAAGCTTAATGAACCAACTCAATGCTCGTCCTTTTAGTGAAGTGGGGAAGAGGCGACACAAAGCAGCGTCTTCTGTTGTCAGCAAGGTAACCTGTGTGAGATATGCATTCAAGTGGTCATCGGGATCTGAGGATCCATCGTACTTCTCTAAAGGAAGGTTTCTCCAACTATCAGATATGGTTGTCTCCATAATGTTTTGAGTGAAAGGGTGCTTGTATGAGCCGGGTGTTGCCACTATCCGAGAGGGAGGTTTCCCAAGAATGGTTGATAACTGCATGAGAGGAACGTGTTTTTTTGGAGTTGTCGGTACGTGATATGAGGAGGCCTCATTGTTGGGTTGTTTAGTAGGGTTCCAAGTTTTGTTCAAGCTTCTCAACTCGGCATTTTCTCTCCTGAGTACTTCAAGCTCCTGAGCGTCTCTTTCTCGGGCTTTCTTGACAGCTGCTATTTCTTCACGAAGCATATTCACAGCTTTTGAGAGATCAATTTGATCTTCCACAGCAACCGGCCCCGAGTCCTGTTCAGGTTGAACCGAGTGGTTGTTGTTCCTGGTAATGACCATCCTCTACAAAATCTTCTTCCTGCAAAAGAGATAAACAATGCGGGCCTTCAAAACGGGCCCCACGGTGGGCGCCAAAATGTACCTGCACGAGGGTACTCCGATAATTTTGCTACTCCTGCTGGGTCTTCGTCTTCCATGAGGTATCCTAGGGAAAGAGAGGGGTACCTGTAAAAGGCACTCCAATGCTTAAGTCAGTCCTCGGTCTCAGAGATATCAATGCTAATCAAATTGGTAATTATCAAAACGTACCTCTCTTTGTCACTGGTCATACTTATTTATACTAACCTTGATGGGCCAGGCCCATATGTAGGCCCATAAGAGGATCCATTAATGATACGAGAAGTCTTCAATGTGATCGCAAGGAGTTATAGATTCTTCTAAGGTGCTTTCCCTAATATTCATACCATTATCCGGTATATTATCTTTAATTTGAATTAATGAAATAAAGTATCAAATAGTTTTCAAATTTATTAAAAACTTGCAAATTTGATATAGATTAATAACTTTTGATTAAATGGTTGAATTGTTGAAATTTGATGTAAAACATAAGTTATTTAGTAAAGTAAGTGAATCTCTTATTCTAAGAATAAGTCTAATTAAATTTACTTCACTCAATAACTCATATTATACTTAAATTTATTTCACTCAATAACTTATGTTATACGTCAAATTTTAATAACTTAATCATTAAATTAAAATTTCTTAATGTATCAATCAAGTATGTAATTTTTTTAGAAAATTAAAAAATATTTAATATTTCATTTTTTTAATTTAGATTGACAGATAATCATAAAAATATTTTATATATTAATTTAAATTAATAAAATAGAGTATTAAATATTTTATTTTAAAAAAAAATTGTAAACTTAATTTATACATTAAGAATTTTTAATTTAATAGTTAAATTATTTAAATATAATATAAAATACGAGTTATTAAATGAAGTAAATTTAATTAGATTATAGACTATTATTATTCGTGTACATGTTTTTTTTTCTTTATTTTATATTTTTGCAATCTGTGTTTTTATTTTAATATTGTTATATTTATATTTAATGGAAGTAAAATTATGTTGTTTGTCATTGTACTTCCTTCAAGGTGGAATGTTCTAATTAAAGCTATTTTGTATAAAGATGCATTTTAATTGGAATTATATATGTCGAAAAAGAATTTTTTTTATAACAATTCGTGTTATAAAAAATTGAATAATTACGTTATCTATTTTGCTTTTTAAAAAAGGATCAATAAAAAATACTAGCTCAATCAAAATCATTTATCTTTCAATAAATCCCATGATCTTTTCTCCTGCAATTCAATTATAGTTTGTTAGTAAATAACTTCATTTTCTTAATCATGTGAAAATAACTTCTATTACATACCTTTTTATTCTTTTAAAGGTTGATAAAATTGGGGCAATCAGTGTAAAAAAAAAAAAAAATCTCTCGAAAGTCATTGAAGTAAGAAATAATGTAAAATTATATATATATATATATATATATATATGGATTAATTCTTGTAAATTATTATATATTATTAAAAAATTACACTACCTACAATATAAAGCACCAATCATAGGAAATAAGTTTTAAGAGTGGTCAAATAATATTATTGTATATATTGACGCACATATTTAATTAGTTTGCTCGTTTTAAATTTAGAAATGTAGCATTATTGCGTTTCATAAAAATAAATTTATAAATGTACTAGTAAGACCATTCGGCCGCCAAGTAGCCGACAGTCGATCGGCACCTGAACGGCCGAACCAGGTAGCCGACAACTGATCGGCCACCGAATGCTCCATAAATTCAGAATCATCCCTAGTCAAGGATTAGGGATTACCTCTAATCAAGGGTTAAGAGTTAATCACACCAATAAGCCAATTAGAGACGTATTACCTAATATGGTAATCCTGTCGCAGGGTCCAGGAAGTCAGGACCCATAAATGTCAGTATAAATAGCTCATGTCACGAGGTAACGTCACTTTTCATGAATTACTATCTATATTTGTACCTGTCCTGACTTGAGCGTCGGAGTGACTTTTGCAGGTGCCCTCTCTCTCACCGGAATATTCGATCGAAGCTCTCGTTCGGCCCTCAAAATACGAGAAAATTACTAGTGTGCCCTTCAGACAGGTACACATACCATCATTATAATTTATATAGATTAAAAAAATACTTTCTGTCACATTTTTCTACTACACTTTTCTTTTTCATTTTAAAGATTTTTGAATTAAAAAAATTAAAATTATTAAATATATATAATTTAGTTTTTAATTTAACAAAAATAACATTTTTTATATAATATTCGTAAAAGTTAATGATCAATATTAGATTGCTTATTTAAGAGATATCACATCTCAAAAGATAATCGATTATCGATCGCTTCTAAAGGATTTGATTTGTGCTTGATTCAACCAGCAATATTCTTAGATTTCCCAGCATATTCCATTCTAATTTCTTACCTATTTGAAAAAGAAAAAGAAAACTGGTTGGCCAAAAAGAAGTTTGGTGGTGTGAGGACCAGAGAATCCCTATCCCTTCCCAAAATTAATGGGCAAAACAAAACAAAACATGTTTCATTTTTTATGTTGGCATCAAAACAACTACTAACGGTATTTCAGTTAAGTTACTTTTCCTCCTTCACTCTCCATCCAAAACCAACCACTCCTACTGCTTCACATTGTTATGGCCATTCAAGCTTTTCATAGCTCTGCATGTTACTTCCACTCCCACCTTCTTCACTCTTATTCCACCACTGCATATCCACCATTCCTTGCTTCAAGGAGGTTCCAATTATGCCCTTCAGCAAGAAAACCTCTCAAGTTGAGCTGCAGTTCGAGTGGCAACAATGGTGACCAAGTATGCTTTTTTTGTGTTAATGGGTTTTCCCAAGTTTGGTTCTTGAAACTTTGTTTCAAATTCAAACTCTTTGTTAGTTCTAGTGCAGGATTACCTTCTGGATGCTCCAGTCTCTGTAGGAGATGGATTCTCTTTTAGTGGAGGTAAAAATGGGTGGATCATGGATTGTGAAAAACATGCTCATAGTGAGACATTATGTCTGTTGGAGTAAACTTCTCTGAAAGCAGTTTTAGAAGAGAAAATTATGGAAAAAGTGAAATAAGTTTCTCTATCGGCTAAAAATTCGTTCCATAAGTTAATTTGTAAAAGTTTTCTCCCATTGACTTTTACAAAATCTTATTTTTAACTCATATAAACTAATTTTAACTTATGGAGAAATTTATTTTAATTTTTCTTCCTATTTTTTTCTTTTAGAAATGTTTTCGGAGAAATTTATCCAAATAGGTAAATGTACTTTTTGTGATTCTTCTGACAAATCTTTTTGGATCTTGTCATTCTGACAGGAAAGTATTCAGATGGGCCTAGTCCAAGCGATGAATGGTTTAAGCAAGGGAAAAAGGTAAAAAGTGATTAATTATCTCTCTACTCTATCTTTGTTTTTCAATTTCTGTTAAATTGGGGGCTTCCTGTAATGTTATGCCTCTTATATTTTAGAGTGAACTCATACCTAGGCCCTTCAAAATAGAAGGGGCATTATTTAGTTTCTGGAAAAAATTGTGTCATCTATTCAATCCTTCAGTTATGTAAACTGTCATTATTTGGTCACTCTATGCTGGACTTAACGAAAAGAGTGTACTGAAACCATAATTTAGGAAATGATTTGATGGCCTTTTGCATGCTTTTGGGACTAAATTGATGACAAAATCTTTGGAGAACCAAACTGATGACATTTTGTGTTACGGAGTGACTAAGTGACTATGCTTGTATTTTTGGATGATGAAAATACGGGTATTAAAACATTGATTATTGAAGTATACTTTTGATTACTTCCAATAATACATTTCATTGAAACATGATCCGATACGGAGAAAATTGTCCTTTTGATATTTCAACTTCATTTCCACGAGGTTGCAATTTCATTATTTTCAAGCCTTTTTTGGTCTAGTCCATAAGTTTTCTGATATATTATCAGGTTAAAGCCTATTCAATTCCTGGCACTGGTGAAAAAGCAAAAGATCCAATTTTTGGACTTGCTATGGGTGCTGGGTCTCAAGCTACTGGTGATCGTTACAGGTAAACTAGATTTATCTTTATATGTCCAATGACTTTGTTGAAGAACACAGGAGAATTTAAAAAAGGAAATGGGAAAACAAATGGCAGATATGTGACATGAATATGTAATTCATAAAAACATAATGTTAATAACAATATTTTAATTTGTAGAACTTTGTTTAAAGTAGAGATGAGACATGGAATTGTTTTCAGAGATTCTAATCGAATCATATTTTGTCATTGATTTTACATAATAGATGGTTTTGTGTTGAAAGCGGAAGTACTGATAATCCTCCAGTGATACTAATCCATGGTTTCCCTTCACAGGTGAGCTTTATTTGGCAACAAGTTATAAGAAATTTTAATGGGCGCTTTCTTAATTTTATATCATTATTATAGAATGAGATTAGTTTACTTTGTTTCCTTAGCTATTTTTAACTGATAACTCTAATCCATGGCAAGCTTGAGTCCACAAACCACAATCTGATTTAAATTCTTTAAGAAATCAAATTTGTTCATGACTCTACAGGTTAGTGAAACAATTGCGAAGAGAACATGTAACATAAAAACCCGAAGATGATCCACTCTGAATGTGTTTTATGTTATTAAACAGTGCTTATAATAATGTATACTCATTGGCAGACCAATCATTAGCCAGTGTTGGAATATCAGTAACCTATTGTTAGTTAGCTTTATAACTAGTCATTGATTAGCTCTTGTACTCACTCATGCACTTATAGTATAAATAAGATGGGCTGTGTCTACACACGCCATAAATTTTTCTGAAATACTCCTTGTTAAAGGTGTTTTTGGATCTTTTTGTTGGTGTTTGATGCATGACCAAGGTTCACACTGAATGTTAGTTTACACCCAGCCATGGGAGTGTATCACCTAATAGGCATTGGACTGAGGTGTTGTACTCAAACCCCGTGACTTTGGTTTGCTGACCTGTCTTCTGTTGTCAATGAAGTTTTGAACAAAATGACTTCAGACTCTAGTAAAGGGCTTTCTTTTTGTGCATTACTGGGTAGTATATGAGTGTAGTGAAGATCAGCTTAGAGGTTGAGTGTGTTAGATTTTCATCTTAAAACTAGTTGGCATTAAGTAAGGTTGTTCAACAGATATATAAGTTACACCCCAATAATTGAGGTAGACGACGTGGGAGTGAGATTCCATATTAGATTCCATCTTAAAACCAAATGACATTAAGTGATGTGAAGTTGTCTAACAAATATATAAGCTGTACCCAAAAAATTGAGGCAGGCGATGTGAGACCTTCCAACATAGTGGACTGTTGATGAGAAAGGGTTGAGACTGCTAAACCTGTGTCATGTACTTGGGATGTGCGTTGAACAGAAGTTAGTAGTAGGTCAACACTAGGGGGAAGGTTAAGGATCACTGGAAGCTATTTGTAATGTCATTCCTGAAAGTGGTGTTGTGTTATTCAGTGAAAAGCACTGGTTGCCCAATTTCTATTTTTGAGATAGGCTGGTATGTTTGATGTTCTTGGTTTTGTAGTTGTGTGTATTTTTACAACAACCTGAGAGCTTAATAAGCATAATCTCGAGGGTGACTGTTAGAATAATAGTTGGATGGGATTCATTATCATAGCTGTTTGGACTCACTAACACATGACATATTGACATGTTACAATATTAATAGTTATGACTTAAGTTTATAGATATTTATTAGCCTTGTAATCTGTCCTTAATTAGTTATTGTATTGAATGAACTCAACATACAGAAAATGAACTGTATGCACTCATGGACTGCGTATTTCAGTAATAGTCAGTGTTTTTATCACTTCCATATAATTGGAAATGTTAATAACAGTATTAAGACTTTTTTTTTATCCCATACATATTATATATATTGAGAAACAACAACTTTTATGGCAAATTTATGATGCTACCAGGCATATTCTTATCGCAAAGTTCTTCCAGTACTCTCCAAGGACTATCATGCTATAGCATTTGACTGGCTAGGTAAGTTTACAATGCTTATATTGAATTTGAAATTAAAAATACTCAATTTTATTTTTTTAGATTTTTTTGTCACATTCTGAACTATGCTTTATGTCATTGCTTACTTTATGCATTTTTAATTCATATCAACCAAATTAATAAATGTTAGAAGAATCATGAAAGGATTTCACAAAATGCCTTCAATTTTGTGCGCTAGCTTGACCTTTAGTATTGTATTATAGCTGTATAATTTCCTCTTCAGCTCAACTAATGCAATCTTTTTCAGAACAACTAATGACTGGTCTAATTTACAAATTTTTGTTCAACAAATTTATCCATGAGATGGATTCTTTATTTAGTAACTCGTTTTTTAAATTTTTTACTAACATTTCATTAGTTTATTCACTGCCGCATAATCGGAAATGTTCAATCCATTTATTGTTTTTTCTCAGGATTTGGGTTTTCTGATAAGCCTCAACCAAGATATGGGTTTGACTACACACTGGATGGTAATTGCTTAAGTGGCCCAAGTAATTTGCTAGCTGTTTATTGAGAATTCTTGTTTTGCAAATAAAGGTGGTAAAATTGTGTTATTTTTCTTCTTTCCTGCAGAATATGTGTCATCATTGCAGTCACTTATTGATGAATTGGCTGTTACAAAAGTCTCACTTGTTGTCCAGGTAAGATTGCCTTAGTTGAAAAAAATTATGGATCTTCTAGCTGAAATTACCTGTTCTTTTGACATGTGATAGGAAGTTCTTTAATCTTCTTTGCTCACAGGGATATTTTTCGCCTGTTGTAGTTAAGTATGCCAGCATTCACCAAGAAAAGCTCAGCAACTTAATACTCCTTAATCCACCTGTATGTTTATTTTACCCATCAAAATTGACTTTGTCTTACAACTTCATTAGTTTCCCTTAGTGTCATTGTCATACAAATTCATTTTAGTTCATATTTACACCAGTAAGTTTAATTCACCCATCAATCAAATGCAGATACGAATGTAAGATACATACAACAATAGGATTATTTAAAAAAAAATATAAGATGGGATTATATTACACCTGTATGTTTATTTCACTCATCAATAAAATGCAGAAGTTTCCCTTAGTGTCATACAACTTCATTTTTCTTCATATTTCAGAAACTTCACTTCAGCTTCTACATGTAAATAAATTCTATTTTCCTCAATTAAAAGTGTATTTAGTAGTTTTCTCTTGTAAAAAAAGCTTGTCTGCTTGACTTTAATTCTGTTATTAATATCAGCAACCATCTGAAATGCTTTCCTAAATACTTCTTAACAGTTGTCACCTTGAATTCCTCTTTCTTATTTTATAAGCTAACAGCCCAACATGCCAAGCTTCCACCAACATTGTCCATTTTCAGCAACTTTCTGCTAGGTGAAATATTTTCACAGGTATAACATGTTCATACATCTTAATAATGTTCTAATATTCAGCTTTTATTTTATGCATATACATATCTGCTTGAATCAATAGTCTGATTAGTCCCTTAGGGTTCCAAATGATACACTTCTCTTCTGGATGATCAGGATCCATTAAGGGCCAGTGACAAAGCTCTAACAAGCTGTGGCCCCTATAAAATGAAAGAAGAAGATGCAATGGTCTATAGAAGACCCTATCTCACATCTGGTTCCTCAGGCTTTGCACTGAATGCAATTAGCAGGAACATGAAGAAAGACCTCAAGGTGAAATTTTAATATATTGAATCAGTTCTGCTGATTTACATGTATTTTCTCTTAAATATTGGAAGCATAAATAATGATTAAGTCATCAATGAGTTTACCTCACTTGAAACTTCTGTAGTGTATAGCTTCATTCATTCTTTTGACCATGACTTCTGTTGGTTGTTACCAACAATAACGTGAATGAAGCACTAGGAAAATATTTTGTTATTTCTATAACTATTTCTTTGGAGCAATAAATTCCTGTGTATGCATCAAATTTTGATAGGATATAAACTTCACTTTATCATTGGATTTTAACACTATTGTTCCTGTTTTTAGTTTTCTCATAGTAGTAGTTCAGAAATTAGATACTGCATATACTCTGAAAAAGTTGTTCGACCCCCACTAGTTCATTTCTTCCGGGTTGAAACCCTTTATGCCATTTAACCTTGTCGAGAAAAGGACCAACTCATGGTATCATAGGCCTTCTCAAAATAAAGTTGAAAAGCTTACTCCTATGTTGTCTGGTGTACCCTACAACCTCATATCACAAGGGTTGCATCTAGTATTTGTGTAGTAGTAGTGCTATATCATCCTACTAATCCTCCAAATACTTTATAAAGAAAGTATTAAATGAGAGAGTAAATGTTTTAATGTCTTGGAAATGTAATTCTTCCTCAAGATTCTTTCTTCTTCAAATTTGCAGAATTTCTAGGATATAACAGATGTTGCATTTGTTTACTATTTAGATTTGTTTGCTCATATTGTCTGGGGTTGAATTGGTCCCAACATTTTTAAGAATGTGTGTGAAAGGACACTTCAATATTTCATTTTGTTTGTTAATTTCTTTCCTTCCAAGTTCAAAGCATATTTAATATTTTGTTTAAACCAGTTCATTGAGCACAATTTCTACTTCCACTTGTTTTTTTATTATTTTTTATTTCTTAAAAACTGAATGTTAGCTACTTGGCCCAAATACATATATGAGCCATTAAATGCATATGGCAGTATCTATGCCTCAACTGAATTGAACCATTTCTATTGTGGAGTCCAACCTTTTTTCTTTCTTTGGATAGAGAAAAGTTTAGGGAAAAGGAGGGGTTTCCCTGTTCTGTGGAGATGGTCAGGGCATATGCCACAGACCTCGATTGTTCTACTTATAAACACATGTCACTCCTATTGTCTTAAAGATGTGGGACGTTGTTTGTACCTTATTGTTTCTAGATCCCTTTCATTCCGGGTATTAGGGATGTTACAGCTACCATCCTTGGTGAGGGGTTATAGTGGTACTTAATACTTATAGATGATATACCAATGAAACACCACAACAACGCTATCAAATTCAATGCAATTTTCTGCATCAAAAAATATAAAAAATAATAAAAAATTTCAAGACCTTTATGTATGGCAGATATTATACATTGGTTCGATTATCATAATTTCATTAGATAGAAATATTCTTGATTGTGGTGTATGTATCTAGTTGCTCACAAATGCAAAAGATCATATTGTACTGCACTGTCTAAAATACTTTCCCGAACTTTTCTAGTGCCTTAGTACCTCAAAAGTAATAAGTAGCATTCTTAGTGCAAAGAGTATAAATATAAAAGAATATTTTGCTTCTCTGTTATTTAATTGGTTTGGTGTTTGTTTGATTCACCTTTTCCCATAGAGATATGTGGAAGATATGCATACAATACTTAAGGACAAAAATTGGAAAGTTCAAACCACAATATGTTGGGGCCAAAGGGACCGCTGGTTGAGCTATGATGGAGTGGAGGATTTCTGCAAGGATTCCAACCATAAACTCATTGAAGTTCCTACGGTAAATACACCAGATTCATTTGCACATGCTTGATTTAGAGCTTGCTTGGATATAAGCTAGAAGTTCTATACTGAAAATGAAGAGTATTTTCTAGTAAAAATGTTTTTGAAAGTACTTCTAAGGTCGTATCCAAACAGGCTTTTAGACTAGTGTTGTTTTTCATTTGTAGTGTCTGGATGAAATTATTCTTTGAGAACAGTTTCCTTTCAGACTTCAGAGTTCTCACTTGTTATAAACATAATGATATCATTCTTTCAATGATTACCTTTAGCTGAGATACTTTGTGCAAGCTTATATTTGTAGAAATTGTGCCTATTAACATTTTATTTTGTTTCAAAGCCAAGGAGGAGCATGCATTCTTAAATGTTAGAAGAATTTGTTCTTTTAGTGCTTCCATATTAATAGGAAATGACTATTGTGGATTCTTTGTATTCTCTTCATATTCAAAACGATTTAATCTCCCATCCCAAAGATCTAAAATATGTGATATTGTGATGTTTATTTTAGGAAGTCAAAATTCTGATTTCAGTTTTATATTGACTTAATCTTTGCATGAAAATAGTATTCTGAGTTGTATTTAATTTTCTTGTGCTAATGCGTTCTCTATGTTTTGTTAAAAATCTAGGAAGTTGTTGACAATGTTCATTTAGTATAAATTGGGAGAACAGTTAAAAAATGATGCATGATAGGCACTGACGGATCCACTTGTATTGTATGAGTGTGGGGCACTTTCTCCCACTACCATTTTATACATACATATATTTTTATATTTAAAAAAATTATATATTTTAAAAAGTAAAAATTATATTCTAATAAAATAAATATATATTTAAATTATCTTATGTATAAAATATAAATTTGGAAGAAATGTTTATTTATTTGATATTTGTCAAACTT